GCCCCGCTCCTGCCTCTGTGCGTGCCTGGGGAGTGGGGCTGCAGCGCTCTGCAGGTTCCTGCCGGCCGGGGGCCGGCGCTGGGAGCTCAGCTGCGCTGCCCCAGGGCCCGGAAGAAGCGGGGAGCGGTGCCGGCTTGCCGCGGTCCCCCAATATCGGGACATAAAGTGCGTCCCGACCGATGTAAGGTCGGGACATGGGACAAGTCCCCTAAAATCGGGACTGTCCCGATAATATCGTGACGTCTGGTCACCCTACCCGCACCGAGCTGGGTGACGGGACCCAGGTGACCGGGCCCCTGGGAGCTTAACAATCACAGGCCTGATTCCCAGCTACGCTCAGGCGGCACTCGGCTGCTCTGGCAGCGGAACGGCCACTCGAGAATCCCCCACCCTGCAAAAGATGCTGCGTGTTGGGGCCAGCGACTGTCCCCGTCCTCTCCCCAGCACATCTCTGCAGCACAAGGAATTTGCTCCGTGGGTCTGTTTATTCCCCATCCAAGCGCCAGGCACAGGGGTGAGCCGGGCCCCATGCTCTGCTGGAGCAGGCGAGTGTCACGGCTCATCACAACCTCGCGGATGGCCCCGGTGTGGCCCCTTGCTGGGAGTAGGCACATAGGGTGGGGGCCAGAGGAGAGCTCACCCTGGCAGGTGTTCTCACTTGCGTTCATGAAATTGGCTTTCCCAGAGCTGGACTCGTAGCCATCGCTGCAGAAGCAGTAGTAACTCCCAGCCACGTTGGTGCAGTCTGCGTTGAGTCTGCAGTCTGGCGGGCTCGGCACCAGACACTCGTTAATATCTGTAATGCAAGAGTGGACGCTCTGTACAGTCCTGGCAGGGAGACATTCCCCCTATCACCCCCCGCCCCCTGGCCTCCCGCACTGAGCTGGGTGATGGGACCCAGGCGACCGGGCCCTGAGCGGTTAATGATTAAGGCCCTGATTCTCAGTTACCCATTTCCGCTGGAATGTCGGAAACAGCCCCCCCGAGCCTCCTGTCCCAGGTACGGGGGGGGGAGGGTTGGCTCCACAAACACCCAGATCCCCCATGTGAGGGGAGGGTGGCGAGATTTCCCTTTGGGCTCTAGGTTACCTGTGTGTTGGGGGTGTGTGACAAGCTGCCTTTCCTCTACCCCCTCCCTCCTTGGATCCCTGCATGGCGAAGGGGGAGGGATAGTATAGCCAGGGCTGCCCCATTCTGCTCCCGTGGGGCCCCTCTGCCCCTGGACACCCAGGGGCTGATTAGGGCCCAGGCTGGGATTCAGACGGGTCAGTGTGATGGGCCCCCCCACCCTGTGCCCCATTCACAGAGCCCAATGCTCCTGGCTCCTACTGCAGCCGCTCCTGCTGCTCACTCTGGAGGCCCCGGTTCGATCCCCAGGAGGGCGGCGCTCACCCGTGCTGCTGCCCCCCCCCATTCCCCAGCCGGGCTGAGCCCCCCCCAACAGGCCCTGCAGTCAGTGGAGTTGGCTGCTCTGTCCCTTAATGCCCTGCTCTGTCCCTGCACCCCCAGGACAACGTGGGAGCCCCGTTACCGTCACAGATCTCCGTTGGGTCGGCGAAGAAGCGATTCCCATGTGGCTGGTATCCATCCAGGCAGGTGCAGTGGGTGTTGTTCACACACTTGGCGTTTGCTGGGCACAGCACATGGCTGTTGCAGTCCTCAGTGGTACCTGCAGGAGCGGGAAGAGGTGGGCAGGGTCAGCCAGTGCAGAGCGGCTCCCCCCCCCACCCCACACACAGTGGGACCGACTCCTTTCACACGCCCAATTCAGGGCCAGCTCCAGGCACCAGCCTGGCAAGCAGATGCTTGGGGTGGCCACCCCGGAGGGGGGCGGCACGTCCAGCTATTCGGCGGCAATTTAGGGGATAGTCCCTCACTCCCGTTCCGAGCGAAGGACCTCCCGCCGAATTGCCGCCGCAGATCGCGATCGCGGCTTTTTTTTTTTTTTTTAGGCTGCTTGGGGAGTCCAAAATCCTGGAGCCGGCCCTGACCCCATTCGTTGATTTTCATCCCTGGGCGCCTGGCAAACAGCTCCGACACCATCCACTGTCTGGCAAAAAGCTGCCCTCTGCTGCACAGGGGCCTTGGTTCCCCGGGGAGCCCCCGGCACAGACAGGAAGAGCTGCCGGAGCCGGGCATCAGATCCAGTGAAACATTTTCGATCTCACCCAATTTTTCTCCTTTTTGTTGCTGTCGTCGTTACTCCCCCTCCCCCACCATTTGTTCCCAAGTAAAACCAAACATTCCTCTGAACCGAATCGGCATTTTCTGGCAAAAAATGGGTCCGTGGGAAATTCCTGCCCGGCTCTGCTCTGGATTAACTGAGAGCGGAGTCGGGCGCAAGGCTAGTTTGGATCCTGAGCTGCCTCCCATGACCCAGACTGTGACCTGCCTACGGGGGCTCCTGGATCCTTTAGCTGCCCGGTGTCTGGGGCTCCGCTGGGACCCGTCCCTCTGGCCAGTGTGAGGGGAAGGATCCCAGCGCAGCTTAGCCAGCTGCAGGGTTGGGATGGGAGCAGATGGAGCAGGGTGGGTGCAGCACTGGGGACCCCAGTGGGTCAAAGGGAATTCGCAGCTGAGGTGGGCTCGGGGCGCAGAGTCTGGATCCCAAACACCCCCCAGCTTGGCACGTGGTTCCTAGGTTTCAGTTCAGCCTGATTTTAGAGTGGGGGGGGCACCTACAAATGCCACTTCTAACGTCTGAGCCATCAGGGGTTTGATTTGGGCTGGTCAATAACACGGCCCTTGGCTACAAAGGGGATCTGCCCCTCACTCCAGCCCCCAGTGTAGAGCCCTGGGCCCCAGTGTCTATTCTGTGCTGGCTGGGAAGGGAAGAGGGGGCCTACACAGGGGCCTTCTCCTCTCCCCTGCACGCACCCATCGTGCTCTACAAACCCACCCCAAGACACCCACGCCCAGGGGCTGCTCCCGGCTCGCCAGATCCCTGACTCTGCTCTCCTCCCACAAGGGAAAGGGACTGGAGGGGGCGGAGGCTGGAGACCCCGGGCAGCCGGGAGCGCTGGGGAAGGTTAGCCAGGAGAAGTCAGCCTTACCTTGTACGCCATGATTCTGGGCCACGGTGCCCCACAGGCACAGGGCGATGCAGAGCCCTGGAAGGCAAAGAGACAGGGTAAGGCACCATGGGCAGAACCACAGAGACGGGGATGGGGCGAAAAGACAACACAGGCTGCTTTTGATCTGCTTTTGACACAGGTATCGCTCCAGATCCGCCCCCTCCTGCTGGTGTTTATTTATAGCCTGTCGCTCTGAGTGATTAACCACACACGGGTGCGAAGAACCAGATGATAAAGGACCCGGGGCCGAGTGCCCGAGGTGATGTGAAAGGGGAAGCACAGAGTGCTGTGGAACCGCATCGTGCTTTCCTAGAAAGGGAGCTAGAAAGGGGGCGTGGCTTTGAAATTCAGCTCCGGTCGACCTCCCCAGGGGAGAATCCATGGAGGACGAGGGAGCTGGGGAGGTGACGGCATCACAGTTCCCGGGGAGCAAAGGCCGAGCCATTAATTCAGAGATTCTCAGGCCAGGAAGGGAGCAGGCTGATCCGGCCTCTCACACTGTACAGGGCAGAGAATGACCCAGGGATTCCTGCATCCAGCCCGTAGCTGGGGATGGAGCTAGCGCAGAGCTTGAGAGAGGACAGCCCGTCTGTTCGACTCCACGTGATGGAAACCGCTGTTGTGTGTTCACACTGTCAGCTGCCTGGGCAATAGCGTGTTCACACTTGCGGCACTTGCAGCGGAATTGGGAGCAGTGCACTCTGGGCAGCTATCCCACAGAGCACCTCTTTCTGTTCTGCCATTAAGAGCTGTGGGAAGGCGGAGGTAGTCATGGGGCATGCTGGGTCCTGTCCCAGTGCCCGCTGATGGTTTGCTTCACATCCCAGCAATCCCTGTGCTTCTGTCCGCATTTGGCGTCATCTTTCAATGGTTTCTGTATCACGTGTCCTGCCTCTTTGGGCTGCAGGAATGGATCCCGAACTGCTGACCAGTATGCTGCTCGCTCTGACCAACACGTCATGAGTGGCAGTGGAGTTATTCCTTAAACTACAAAGGCAAGAGGAGTGCGACATTGATCTCACCACGCGTAGTAGCTACAATACGAGATTGCTTGTGGCACTCGCGGAGGTGCTGACCACAGTGGAACGCTGCTTTTGGGCTCGGGAAATGATGGGATCAAATCGCTATGCACGTCTGGGATGACGAGCAGTGGCTGCAGAGCTTTTCGGATGAGGAAAGCCACATTCATGGGGCTGTCTGATGAACTCGCCCCGTCCTGCGGCGCAAGGACACGAGAATGAGAGCTGCCCTGATGGTGGAGAAGCGCGTAGCAATTGCACTGTGGAAGCTACTGCTACCGATTGGTCGCTAACAATTTCAGAGTGGGAAAGTTGACCGTTAGATTCGCATTGATGGAAGTCTGCAGGGCTATTAATCCCATCCCGCTCTGAAAGACCGTGACTGAGAAACGTGCGTGACATTGTGGCTGGCTTTGCACAAATGGGCTTCCCTAACTGCTGAGGGGCGATAGATGGCACACATATTCCAATTCTGGCACCAGACTACCTAGCCACTGAGTACATTAATCACAAGGGGTATTTCTCAATAGTTCTCCAGGTGCTTGTGGATCACCATGGGCGTTTCACAGACATTAACGCAGACTGGTATGGAAAGGTGCATGACACACGCATGCTTTTGGAACACTGGCCTGTTCAGGAAGCTGCAAGCAGGGACTTTCTTCCCGGACCAGAAGATCAGCGTAGGGGAAGTTGAAATGCCCATTGTGATCCTGGGAGACCCAGCCTACCCCTTAATGCCGTGGCTTATGAAGCCATACATGTGGTAACTTGACAGCAGTATGGAGCGGTTGAACAACAGGCTGAGCAAGTGCAGAATGACTGTTGAATGTGCTTTTGGCCATTTAAAAGCCCGCTGGTGCTGTCTCTATGGGAAGCTGGACCTGGCTGATGACAATATTCCTATGCTTATAGCTGCATGCTGTACGCTCCATACTAATTGTGAAGGGAAGGGTGAAAGCTTCACTCAGGGCTGGATCACAGAGGCTCAGTGCCTGGAGGCTGAGTTTGAACAGCCAGAGACCAGGGCTATTAGAGGGGCAGCGCAGGGCCATAAGGGTCAGGGATGCCTTGAGGCAGCAATTTAAAGCAGAAAGCCACTAAGATGTGTTGCTTATCTGGGGAGTGCAGTGCTTGTAATGCTAGGAGGTGATTGGTGCAGATGACGCAATATGTGGGTTTAACATAATTGTATGTTGCTTTGCAGGGATCTTTTTGCTTTCAATAAATAAATAAATTGCTTTCAAACCCGCACAATTATTTTATTTAAAAACAACAACCTAAGGAGAGAGTCAAACAAACAAACAAAACATCAGCAGTGGGGAGGATGTGGGAAGAGAAGGTCCCAGGAGGAGGAGGGGTCCTGGGATGGCTAAAGATATTTGCATGTCCAGGGATCATATCCAACCTTCTCCTTTGGAGTACAATGCAGCGGGTGCTGTACTTCAGCAGGGCCACACTGCAGAGGGATTGGTGCTGAGTGCGGTGGGTAGTGGGAGTCGGCAGTGCTGGACTGTGAGGGGGAAGGAGTGGAAAGCCGCAGTACAGACTGGAGCCAGGAGGTTGATAAGAGTGTGTTGGCGGTGTCTGGGGGGTGCATGGGAAAGTGTTTTGTGACAGCAGCTGCAGGGGAGGTCAGGCGCGGAACTGCTTAGTTTGAAGAGCTAGTATCGCCTGGAGCGTGTCTGCTTGGCGCTCCATAACCTGTAAGAGCCGCTCCGTGGCTTCATTCTGGCGCGTCGCGTTCTCCTTCGGTCCCTCTTCTCGCTGTCCCGCCACTCCTGCAATTCCTGTTTCTCGGCGGCAGAGTGCATCATAACATCACGCAGAAAGTCCTCCTTAGTTCTTCTTCGCCGCTTTCTAGTTCTGTGCAGCCATTCAGCCACCGATAGCAAAGAGGGAGGCTGGGCTCCCAAGGTCATTGCTGTGAAGTTTAAGCACAACATTTTACAGAGGCAGGATTGTTTGGCAACACAGAGAGCACTGATTCAGTGCTTTAAACACAGCCAGTACTCACACACCTGGCATTAACTGGCTGACCCCAGGCAAGCACACATGAGCCACAAGACCCCCAAAATCGTGAGTAGCCGCAGGGGCAGGGTAAATCACTCTTCTTGGACCCTGCTGTACACTGGGCACTGGTCATCCCCCTCTACCCCCGTGATGGTACAGTGGAGCAGGAAAGTTACCGTTAATGGGGAAGAAACAAAGCAGCTCTGCTGAGAAACCTGCGGCAGCAGATTGCCCAGTATCTCCATGACAGTTTCCTGAAGATCTCTGAGGGAGATTCCCCTGAAGTGAGGGCGTCAATCAACAGCCTGTTCCGCAACTCAGAGTAGGCATGTGGTGGGAGACAAGCCTGCTTTCTGCAACCCTCCTTCCCCAGCAACTCGCTTCAGTGATTCCCAAAATCAAATCCACTTACGCGGGGCCTCCTCTCCTGTTTGTGCTTCGCCAACATCCAATAGCTGTGACTGGCTAGCCTCCTTCTGGGGTAGAAAAGAGCTCCTGGCTGCATCCATCTCTGATCTCCGAGTCATCCTCTGTCTCTGGGTCCCCCTCACCTTCCACATCCTCATCCAAGATTTCCTCCTCCTGGCTCGGTTCACTTTCGACTGGCACGTGAGCCACCGAAGTGGCCTTTGCAGTGGAGGTGGGGTCGCCACCGAGTATCGCGTCCAGATCTTTGTAGAACCAGCAGCTCGTGGGCGCAGCACTGGAGTGGTGGTTTGCCTCCCACACCTTGTGGTAGGAGTTCGGCAGCTCCTTCACTTTGACCCTGCACGGCAATGTGTCCCGGGCATGGCCCCTTTCTGTCATGCATCGTGAAATCTGTCCGTAGGTATCTTAATTCCTACAGCTGGAGTGCAGCTGGGACTGGACCAGCCTCCTCTCCCCAAATGCTGATGAGGTCCAGCAGCTCGGCATTGCTCCAAGTGGGAGATCGCCTGGTGCGTGGAGCAGGCATGGCCACCTGGAAAGATGAGCTGAGACCACTGCACGCGTCACAGAGCAAACAGGAAGGGGACTTTCAAAATTCCAAATAAATTTACTGAGTGGGGATGACGGTTGGTGTCCTGAGGGCAGGGCAGTAGAGTTTAAACCGATGACCAGAGAGGCGAGAACCAGCATTATGGGATACCTCCTGGAGGCCAATTGCAGGGCTGTAATGGACCAGGGTGTCTACACTGGCACCATCGCACTGTACCCCCGGTGCAGAAAGCTGTACGCCTCTCGTTGGGGGGTTTTTTACAGTGCTACAACTGAGCAGTTTCTGCGCACTAAGTGGCCTGGCAGTGTGTAACCTCGGGAGTTACAGCGCAGAAAGCTGCTTTATTGCACAGAAACTTGCCAGTGTAGACAGGGCCTAAGATGTTTCCAGCAGTCATCCTGGGCAGGGATTCTGTGAAGAATGAAACCTGATTAACTCACTTCCCTGCCTTCAATAGGATTTACATATGGCGGGGATCCTTTGTTTCCTAGTTTGATCCCCACTCCTAGCAGTGGAAAAATACTAGTAGTCCAGTACCAGGTGACATGATCACATGACCCTGCAGTGTCAAAGCAGCATCCTAGGAAGCTTCTCAGGAAGGTGGGAGATTAGCATCTTCAAAGTTCTATTGTCCGTCTTAAATGGCCCATCCAGGCTGATTGCTTATTGTCTGGTGGATGTTCCCCAGGTGCAAACCCTCTAGTAACTGTTACATAGTCAAATTTCCTAACTTCAGATACAGAATTGATACATGCATACAAGTAGAAGAATATAGTCTAAGGGTACATCTTCACTACTCGCCATATCGGCGGGTAGCAATCGATTTATCCGGGATCAATATATCGTGTCTTGTTAAGACACGATATATCGATCCCCGAAGGCGCTCACCGTCGACTCTGGAACTCAACCAGAGCGAGCAGCGGTAGCGCAGTCAACAGGGGAGCCGCGGCCGTCGATCCCACGCCATGTGGACCCCAGGTAATTCGATCCAAGATACATTCAGTAAATCATAACCTTTCCAATGACATCTCACATGACCCACCTCGCATAGAACACATCTGTTTTGTAATATTCGTATCATAGCAATATCCTATGAGGAATATGGGGCATAGTGTCACTTCTGGCTTTTCCCTTCTGTTGGTAAACCACATGGCCAACTGCTCGACCAAACTTTGGTTCGTTATCCAAGAGACCAAATAACCAATCTCGGTCTGGTTTATTGCTAAAAGTCAGTAATCGCTAAGGCTGGGGGTGTCTGTCACGGAGGTCATGGAAGTCACAGATTCCAGAACTTTCTGTGACCTCCATGACTTCTGCAGCGGCTGGTGTGGCTGGCCCTGGGCGACCCCTGCTGGGGCAGTCTTTGGCCACCACACACCCCCAGCTCCCCAGCAGCAGCAGTAGTTTCGATGTGGGATGGGGGTCAGGGCTGGGGAAAGGGGTTGGTGTTCAGGGTGGTGCTTACCTGGGGGGGAGGGGCTCCATGGAAGCAGCCAGCATGTCCCTGCAGCTCCTAGGCAGAGGGGCCAGCGGACTCTGTGCACTGCTCTGCCTGCAGGCACCGACCCCGCAGCTCTTATTGGCTCATGGCAGAGGCAGCGCACAGAGCTCCCCTGGCCTTCCTTCCCCCTTGGAGCTGAAGGGACAGCTCCGGCCAGCCCTGCCAGCCCTCCCCGCAGTACCACAAGGGTTCCTGGGCCATGTACCGCCACGTTCCCACCACCAGCACCAGGGACAGCCCTCCTGGGCTGCACCCCCCGGACCTGTGGTGTGCCGCGGGCCACCTCCCTCCAGCACCCACAGTGCCCCTGGGCCACCCCCAAGAGCACTCACAGACCCCTAGCCCAAGTGTTAGTTTGGGGTATATAGTGCAAGTCATAGACAGCTCATGGGCCGTGAATTTTTGTGTACTGCCCGTGACCTGTCCATGACCTTTACTAAAAATACCTGTGACTAAACCTAGCCTTAGTAATAGCATATTACAGGAACAAAGGTTCAATACAACTCCAATTTCCGGGAACCCGTCTCCTCCAGCAGTGCTGAATTCACCTTACAAAGAAGGCTTGTGTCCAAAGTCACACCCCTCAAGCCGTCCTTTTTATACCCAACCTGTTTACAAGGAAAGAGGTACTGTATGCATCCTCTGAGGCTAGTCTTAACCTCCCATCTTTCTACCTTGTTTTTCTGGTACCATACGGTACCCCTTAGCTCTTTGGTCTGGACTCAAGAATTCCAGGTACCAAGAGCGTGCTGGACCTCCTAGGCTTATCCCATATATATTGTCCTTATCTTTGGGACACTCCAGTGAGAGTAACTCCCTGCCTGTTACTACAGTAGGACACCCCCATGTGCTGATCCTGACTGTTTTCCTGGCTAATGCAAGGTGTTATGGGATACTTAGCATAAGTGAATAAAGGGTGGTCTACGCTGGGGGGGGGATCGATCTAAGATACGCAACTTCAGCTATGTGAATAGCGTAGCTGAAGTCAAAGTATCTTGGATCGAATTACCTGGCCACATGGCGTGATGACGGCTCCCCTGTTGACTGCGCTACCGCTGCTCGCTCTGGTTGAGTTCCGGAGTCGACGGTGAGCGCGTTCGGGGATCGATATATCGTGTCTTAACAATATAATATATCACATGATTAATAGTTATGATTCACATTACATATATTAATATGGATATTATGTGCTTAATGCATATAACATTATATTTTATGTAC